AGCATTAGTTTACACACTATATGTTAAATCATTAAAATGCTTTTCCTCTTTGATAAATGAATGAGCCTAATGCCAGCTTATTTATTATATATCATCGTTTTTATCTATAGTTCATTACTATTCTCTACAGTAGTAATTCTGCTTAGTCTGTAATATTGTCATCTTGTCTTGTACTTGAACCATGCAAGAAACTTAAATGTTTTAAAAAGTTAGGCATAACGAGTATGTATCTTAGTCTGTTTGTATTTTTGCAAAGGAATACCTGAGGCTGGTTAATTTATAAAGAAAAGAGGTTTATTTGGCTCACAGTTCTGCAGGCTGTCCATGAGGTGTGGTGTTGGTATGTGCTTCTGGTGAGGGCTCAGGCTGCTTCCACTCATGGGGAAAAGAGAAGGGAGCCAGTGTGTGCAGACCACACGGCAAGAGGGGGAGCAAGAGAGAGAGGAGGAGGCGCCAGGCTTCTCTTGGGAACTAAGCATGAGGCCTCACTCTGGTGAGGATGGCACTGAGCCATTCATGAGGGATCAGCCCCTAGGATCCGAAAACCTCCCACCAGGCCCCACCTCTGATACGGAAGATCATATGTCAACATGAGGCTTGGAGGACCCCAACAAACCACATTCAAAACACAGCATAATGCGTGTTCATGATAAAATATTTGAATGACATTTAAATATCTCGTAGTGTGTGTTCGTGGTAAAATATTTGAATGGCATTTAAATATCTAGAGAAATAAGTGAAAGTCTACTTTCCCTGCTCACGGCCTTTAATCCAGAATCCTTTAATTCCAGAAATTTCTGGAATTAACCACAGTTCATAGTCTTGTGTATGTTCTTCCAGAGCATTTTCTTTAGACTGTACGCATAGATTTTGGGTTACTTCCCTTTGTTATGCAATTATATAATTATATACAAATATAATTATGTATTTATTTCTCACATAGTGAATTCACTTTATCTCAATTCAAATGATCCTGTCAGTTCTGAAAATACAATCATCAACCAGTCTTTAGGAGCCAGCCCTTGACAGTTGCACCTAAATACAGACTGTTCTCAAAAACAGGTTGTGTTCAAAAGATTTTTGTTTTATAAGATGATTATTTGGAACTTGGAATATGTATTCTTATAAAGTGAGTTATAAATATGCATTAAGTGGTGGCTACAGCATCACAAGAAGAAGGTCAATAATGGAAAAGGAACATAGAAAGAGTGTTTGCTATGTGTGAAAATGCTGTTAAGTAAGAACTTTTTGTTGTTTCCTTTATTCTTCCCAACATTTTCTTTATGGTGTTATTATTCCAAATTCTACAGACTGAGCAGCTAATGTTCAAAGTAACTAAGTAACTTTCTAAGTATTACGTAGGTTGTCCGCCAGAGCTACGGGGGTCTGGTCCAGGTATGTTTGATTCCTAAACACATGCACCTTCCAAGGCCCTGGAAGTCTGTTTAATAAGGGAAAGGTGTGCTCAGAGACACATATTCAGCCCCAGGAGGTGGCATGGGGTTTGCCTCCTCTTGTTTAGGTAATCATGGATGGAAGGACCAGGAAGCTAAAGGAGATCTGGCCCCACCATGCCTCATTCACACCCCAGTCAATGACTGTGTCAGGACATGTTGGCTACTGCTATACAGGGATCCCAGTGCTAGTTAGCAAAAATACCTTGCTGGACATTTTCTGCCCCCACCCTCTCAGATTCATCGTCCTTCTCTGGGCCTTGGGAGGTTGACTTCCTCGGGCTCTATCAGTGGGCTGGCTCCCCTTTCCTTTGGCTTCTGATTGGGTTTGCCCAGTGGGAAGCATCAGTAGGAGACTGAAAGATGTGAGGGAAGAAATGTCAGGGCACTCAGCCCCCTGGCACCTGTCCTGTCAAAGTTATTATATTTGTTGTGGCTGGATTCCTATACCGAAAGCCACAGCTCCCACTGGATGGCTTTTCCCTACATTCTTGGCTGTCCCTAAGTCAGCAAATACTTCTTCTCCTTGTACCTTCATGCCTGGGGCTGGTGAAACCACCGTACTCTTACTATCCCAGGTGTTTTACCATTTCCTGTTGGTATAACACAACCTTGCCCACACTCTTGTAAATGTCCTTTCATTCAACTCTTTTTAATTATCCCTTTTGAGAGTGGCAGCATCTGTTTGTTGCTAGGAACCTGACTGATTTGGTAAATAAAACCAGGTTTTGTTCTAGAAAACAGATCCTCACTATGGGATTGTGTAATTATGTTGCTCACATATTTGCTGAGGGCACAGGGCACAGATAATCTCCTTGCCAGGGTGAAATAGATAACGTGGTATGTGGTGGAATAACAATTACTCAAATTGCCAACAGCTGGTGCAGGGGAGGCGTGCAGGTGAAGGGAAGGCATCGGGAGATTGTGTGACTGCAGCATAGTTGTTTTGTCAGGTGATTTAGATTACTCAGCCTGGCTACTTATGAAATCCTAGAGAGCAGAAACAGAGAAAAGGACAAATTATCATCCTTCAGTGTCCAATTCAGGGCATGCAGAAAATCCAATAGCTCTTTGGAAGTATTTAAAGAAGCTTTTACCTTCTACCCTGCCCTACATGCAGGGCAGATATATCTAGCCCAGGGAAGCTTCTCAAGAATCTATCTGCTATAGCTGCAGGGCAAACATGATTAAAGATCACGTGAAGCTAGACACATGTACTGTATCCTTCCACTTCTCGCATTAACAGAGATTTCTAGGGGCTCACAACCTGGTAAGATAGAAGATGCATGTGCTAAGGATTCAAATGTACCTGGGACTGACTCTCAACTCTGACACATGCTTCCTATATGGCATTGGGCAAGTTAATGAGTCACTCTGAAAGACAAGTTGGTGCATTAATGAATGTGCAACACTGCTTGGTCTCTTAGGATAAGATAAAGGCATAGATGGAAAAAGAGTGGGCCCCTGAGATATAGGATGGGGATATAAGGGCAGACACAGAGAAGATTGAGGACTGTGAACCTCTAAATTCCCTGGATCCCCTTCATTGCCTAGGGAAGAAGTCCTGCTCCTGACTGAATCACATCTGAGGCAATGGGCTTCTCCTGCGCATCTTTTGCAAGCCCCACTAGGAGAATCGTAGTGCAGGCCTCTCCTGTTTCATGGTATAACTCGATCCCTTCTGCAGATAACTATCCTCCCTTGAAACAGCTTCTGCTTTGGCATTGGGCTCTAGTAGAAACTTAATGCCAGCCCATATTAGTTTTTTTTATTTTTATTTTTTGGTTGCTGTAACAAATTATCACAAATCTGGCTGCTTAAAACAGCAGCAATTTGTTTTCTCGCCATTCTGGAGGCTGGAAATCTGTAAGGTGTCAGCAGGGCCACATTCTCTTTGAAGGCTCCAGAGGACAATCCTTCCTTGCCTCTTCCAGCTTCTATTGTTCTAGGAGTTCTTTGGCTGGGACTATGCAGCTCCAATCTCTGCCTCTGTTTTCACATGGCTTTCTTCTCTGTGTCTCTTTGGTGTCTTCTTCTCTTCTGTCTCTTATAAGGACACTTATCATTGGATTTAGGGCATACCCAGTAATTCAGAATGATCCCTTTTCAAAATCCTTAATTTTGTCTGCAAAAGTGCTTTTTCCAAGTAAGATTACATTCACAGGCTCTGTGGGACGTATTTTTTGGGGGGAGCCACCATTCAATTCATTACACCGATGATGGAAAACTGACCATGTGACCTGAGCTGCCTGTGATGAACTGGGTGTTATCTGACCCACCATTCACAAAGCTGGGAATGTGCAGCAGCAAACTGTCAGGTGTAAATTGCAAAGACAAAAAGACAAATTGGTTTAGCACTAGCAGGTGACTTACTCTTTCAATACCTACTCCTGACACATTGGCTTCCTCTGAATTTACACTCTGGCCTTATGTGAGTTTCCTATAACCATGTGACTGTGAAGAAAAAAACTGGGCCTGACTTTTGTATAGGTCTTAGGATATGTAGGCACAAGGCAGAAGTGGATAGCCACTGCATTATAATCCCAGGCCCAAAAGACCATGGTGAAGAGAAATTACTACAATTAGAAGAATTTTAAGCAATGCATTTATTTGGTCATTTTCTTAGGCCACAAAGATGACTTCAGGTGCGTGTCTGCATCTACATGGGCGGTGGCTAAAAACTTAACGAGTTGTTCAGGGACTTTAAAAGATCATGATATGAAGATTGGTGACAAAGAGAAATGTATGAGGATGGATTTCCTGTAATGGGCACAGAAGATTCTTTTACCATAGAAATACCTATCAGAGAGATTTCATTGTAGAGAGGATGTGGATAATGAGGTGGATAAGATGAAAGCATCCTGTGGCTGTCATTCAAAATATTTCTGAGCCAGCATGGTGTTTATGCTATAGACCCCTTATAAAAAATTTCTATGGCAGCAGGGGTTGAGGCCGGACAATGTGATCTCTCTCATCAGGACTGATCTGACTACTGCCACTGCTCAACATCTAACCTGTCAACAGCAGAGACCAATGCTGAGCCTTTGATATAGGATCATTCTCTAGGGGGATCAAGCTGCTACCATATTACTGTACTCTTTCCACCATGGATGCAGCAGCTATTTCTGCTCAAAGTAATAACTATACATTGCATTTATAAATGCATGTTTTCTTCCTTGCCCTCAAGTCTTCTGCCAGTACCACCATTCCTAGGCCACAGGATGCCTATTTCCCCCATTTTATCCCATATAACTCATTGAGTGGCCAATAAAGTGTGGCAGTGGGTTCATGCCCACTAAAGCCACTGCCCATCATTCATATAGTCATGGAATGAACCACTGCAGGCTCAGCTGTGATTACAGGGAGACAACGAGCTGTGAAGTTAGGGTATATGCCTCAAATATGTGGTCAAAATATGGTGCCATCTCTCTGATAGCCAGAATTCATGGATCTGGGAATCAAAATGTTGAGGTGGAAGAGGTCCTTTTCACTATTATACCTAATAACTCAATTAAAGAATTTTTTCTTCCTGACTCCACCACTCAGGATTGGTGGTTTTGGAGGTTCTAGTGCCCCAGGGAAGAATACCTCTAAGATGGGACAGTAATGATTCCATCAAATTGAAAATTGGGACCAACTGGCTTCTCATGCTGCTGAATCAACAGACAAATGTAGGAGGACTCTTTCCCCTGTTCTTGGCCTGTGGCCTGTGTTTTGTTATTGGAGGACACTGATGTTGGCCTGTGTTTTACGTGTTTGGTCATGTGGGTGTATGAGTGAATTGACAACACTTCATGATGGCATATCAACTGATTGGAATTATGTGTTTTCTAGATTGGGGACACATGATTTTTTTTTTTTTTTGAGACAGAGTCTTGTTTTGTTGCCCAGGCTAGAGTGAGTGCTGTGGCGTCAGCCTAGCTCACAGCAACTTCAGACTCCTGGGCTCAAGCAATCCTGCTGCCTCAGCCTCCTGAGTAGCTGGGACTACAGGCATGCACCACCATGCCCAGCTAATTTTTTCTATATATATTAGTTGGCCAATTAATTTCTTTCTATTTATAGTAGAGACAGGGTCTCGCTCTTGCTCAGGCTGGTTTTGAACTCCTGACCTCGAGCAATCCACCCGCCTCGGCCTCCCAGAGTGCTAGGATTATAGGCGCGAGCCACCGTGCCCATTCGACAGGTGATTTTTAATTGGACAAAAGGAAAAAGGAGATACTGACATTGACAGACAAGTACTGATTGTGCTAGATGTATATTCTCTGACGCTTTAGATCTGTTTGCTACCCTTTCCCACCCAGCTCTGTACACAGAGGGGTTGATCTCTGTGAACTACTTTAACCAGGCTCCCATGTACAGTGGCTTTTCATGGCAATGGCAATGGCAGATCAGAGTGCTGGAGGAAAGAAAGACTAAGCTGTGCCTTTCCTGGCTCCCTCCTGCCTGGGCCACAGATTGGCACTGGCTGTTTTCCTCTTTCTGGAGCCCTGGCTCCTGTTGCTTAGTCCCGTCCTCCAGCTGTGACTATTCCTGGGCATCAGTGACTACTCTCGCCCTCTCGCCCTGTGCCTTCGGTCTTTAAATTAAAGGCTCCCAACACTGACTCTTGGTGGTTTCCCTTAACTCTGTCCTTATTTACTAATAGCCCTTTCATGAAACTCTCTTTGGTCAACCATTTGAATAACTGATCTCTTTCAAATGGGTGACCAAAGAGACTTTCATGAAAAAATCAAGGCCATGCTCTATTTAGGATATAGAATCCTTCGCTCATCTCCACCAGCTCACATGCTTGCATCCCAAGAGCTGCTTACCCATGGTTTGTGTGCATATGTTGAGAGAAGTACAGATCCAAAGACAGCTTCTTTTTCTTGGGCTCTGGTGACTTCCAGAACAGCCACTATAGGTTTCTTTCTCTTCTGGGTTATGAAATTTCAGTCACTGCCTTGCCCATGTGCCAAGTCCTCTGAACTTACAAATGGGTGCATTATTCACTCTGTTAGCATTCTAGTGAGCAAAGCCAATTTACCCGAGTCTTCAAGTGGTAGTAAAGACGATAGTCCATTACTAGGCTATAAGTTTGCTTTATTCACTCATCTGGCAAATATTTAGTGAATACTTACTGTATGCCAGACACTGTGCTAAGATCTGAAAATATGGAAATGAGCAAAAAACAAAGACTCTGCCATTGTGGAGCTTGAATCTCATTGAATGCATTTTTGCAATCAGTGGCCACATCTACTTTCTTCTCTATGGTATTGTGAGCACTGTGGTGAAAGCTCAATGAATAATTATTAAGTGGATAAAGATGAGGATTGGAAACATTATAACAATTACAGTTACAATTACAGCAATTTAATCGTATGTGTGTGTGTGTGTGTGTGTGTGCATGCGTGCACGTGTGTGGTCTTTATAATGCTGGTCTGTCTCATCTCAAATCACCTAGCACTGAGGAAGCTGTAAGTACTCAGTCAAGTTTTGCCAGGTTCCTCTCAGTTCCAGGTCAAATATCTGAAACAATCAGGATACCAGTTTTATTGTTGCTGCCCCAGAATTGTCCCCATGACGTCTTCTGGAAAAATCCTACATCTCTTTCTTCACTGCCCTGGATGCCTCCCTTGTTTTTGAGCTGTCTGGGCTCCCTGGTCTGCCATGTCCCAATCACTTCTCAGCTCACTTCAGCCCCCGTTCAACAGGATTGCCTGCCTAAGCTTCCCTCTAGACGCACTTCATCCTTTCCTCTGGCCCATGTCTTTTTCTTTTTGAACCCCAGCTCTCTTCCTCGACTTCCTGGATTATTGACCTGACATCTGTCAATCAACCCCAATCCATCGTGCCACTGGAAGTCCTGCTGACAGACAGATCGGTGGTGTGTCAACAGACCCATTTGTCAAATGGAAATTGGAAGAAACCTAAAGCAACACAGTAGATGATGGAAAACGAAGTCATTTATTCCAGATATAGCTCATTCCCAGTAGGTCTCTGCTATGGCATTTCCTCTTCATACTGTATTTTTTTTTTTCCAGCTCAAGGTCAAATTCAAAAATGTGCATGCTGACACTTGTAGTCGTACCTTTTCATTGTTGGATGGCTGGTGTGTGGTCAGGGTTTTTCAGCTCTCTGTAGTTTTGTGTGAAAAGTCACTATGACATGGGGTGGAAAGATCCACAGGGGAACACTCTTGTTCACAGTAGAGCTGAAATCAAAGGAATGTTTCAGGCTGTGAGAAATGGCTTCCTGCTCCCTGGCTCCAGACTACAAGCCCTCATGCCTTAGAGAAGGTAATCTGGAAAAAGTGAGGTACGGAAGGATGGGGATTTTCACATTGCAGCAGAGAATATCCATAGTTTCTTTTCAGGTTTAATTGTACGTGGGTGGTGCATGTATAAGTGCTCGTAAATTGTCTACCCTGATATTGAATTCAGCCCCCTCCATATGTGTCAGCATGAGCTGAGCTGAGGCTGGTGGAATAGGCCAAAATATACTAGGACTGCTGCCAAACTGACGACAGAGGGTTTGAAAAGTTAGCTAGAGAGACCTGTTAACTCAGTTATTAAAGTAATAGATTTCTTGTCCTGAGCCTCTACACACATGCAATTTTTTCCCTTTTGGGGTGGAATATGAAATGAGAAGGTACTGATGGAGAAATTGACTTTCTTCTCTAGTTGAAGAAGTAGCATTTGGTGAAAACCGTTCAGAAATTTTAGGTAAAATACACCTTGTGGCATTCCATAAGATGCTCAAATTATCTATTGTAAGTTACATATTTCCTGGTTTTTGCTCTTTTTGTTTATGAATGCAAACATTACTAGAAACATCATCATTCATTTTTAGTAGATTGAAAACAATTGATTTCTAACCTTTATGAAATGACTATCAGAAAAAAAGCACACTGAACCCCTAGAGGGAAGTGGTAAGGTGCTATGCAAATATTTCCCACTACTGCCTACAGGTGACTTTTACAGGTGACTTTTTACAGGTGACTATTTTGGTTGACTGATTGATTAATTGATTAGGGTTCAGCTTTGTTTAAATGTGAGGCATTTTTGAGATTGGGAAGGATGAAGGGAGTTAGGGAAATTAGAGAATAACTGCATTTGAAGGTTGGGCAAATAAAATTTAAATAGCTTGGTTATAGCTCAGATTTTCTTTTTATGCCTAGTATAATGTTTATTAAGTGATGCAAAATGTATTGAGTGACAACTTCCTATAGAGACTCTTATAAGGATATAACCAGACTTAGTGGATGTGCTGATTGCTAGTGGGACAAAGATTTTTGAATGAAACATTCTTAACCTCTGGGCAAGTATTAAATTGAGCAGGTAATTGAGTTACATTAATTTGAGGTGATAGAGTGGCCCTGCTTGGATTCAGTTCAAGTATTCAGATGTGGGTCTGGTAGGAGGACTCTTGGCTACAAAATTATTTGGTGTCATTTAAAATGTCCCTCACTATGTACTCAATGAAATTATCACAAGTTTTTTTGTTGTTTTTCTTTTAATGGGCAAAGGGGAAGATGCTTTAGCACATAATAAAACAGTTGACACACATGTCATTTAAGAGAACTGAGAATGAGACCCTTATTTGTAGGAGTTGAGGGGTATAATCTTGTTAGAGAGTCATTCTTGCTTCGTCTAGATAATGGGTCCAGGAGACAAGGCATGGCCAGACATGGTGGCAACAGCCATGAAGGCCACTAGATGGGACAACTGAGTTCTGCAGCAAGAAATCATTAACGGGGACTAAGAAGAGTTTGTAAACCACTGTCAGAGGAAGGGAGGAAGTAGGAGAAACTGAATGTTTCAGATATTCCATTAGTACTGCAGCTAGAACACAGTAGGTACTCAGTAAGTATTTGTTAGATGAATGAAAGTGGGTAAAATTAAAAGGTGGGAGTGGGAAGGAGCAATATCAAAGGATCTAAAGATCCTATCATATGGATTTTTGGGGAAGCAGGTTGGCTTTTTAAATTTTATTTATTTATTTTTTTCACAGTCCACTAGAGATTTCTTTTTTTAAAATTTCAAAATATTAAGGGGGTACAAATGCTTTTGGTTACATGGGTCACTTTTGCACTGGGGGTTCCTGTGTTAGGCACATATATATTTAGTATTGTTACATCATGTTTAATTGTTTATTTTACCGTTATATAATGACCATCTTTGTCTTTCTTTATCTTTGCTGGTTTAAAGTCAATTTTATCTGATATGCCAATGGCTACACCTGCTTTCTTTGATTTGCATTTGCATGGAATATTTTTTCCATCCTTTCACATTGAGTCTGTGTGTGTCCTTGTGGATTAGATGTGTTTCCTGCAGATAGCAGATACTTGGGTTGTGTTTTTTCATCCACTTGGCCAGCCTATGTTTTTTGAGAGGAACATTCAGATCATTAACATTGAGTGATAGAATTGATATGTAGGATGTTGAGGCTGTCAATCATGTTGGGTAGTAACTTATTGCTTTGTTTTCCCTCTTGTGCCATTGTTTTATAAAAATTATGAGTTTTAGGGTTTTTTGGGTGCTTTTACACTGGTGGGTTTCTGTTGTGCTGATTTGTGTATAATGCAGTTCTCAGTATTTCCTGCAGGGCAAATCTAATCATGGCAACTTCCCTCAAAGTTTCCTTGTCTAGAAAAGACTTAATTTCTCCATCAATTGTGAAGTTTAGTTTTGCAGGATGTGAAATTCTAGGGTGGCAGTTGTTCTGTTTAAGAGAATTGAGGATGGAGCCCCAATCCCTTTTGGCTTGTAAGGTTTCCACTGAAGTCTACATTTAGCCTGATGGATTTTCCTTTGTAGGTTATTTGTTGCTTTCATCTTGCTGCTTGCAGAATTTTCTGCTTCATTTTGACTTTGGCCAGATTGAATACTATGTGTCTTGGAGATGTCCTATATACTATGAATCTTCCTGGTGTTTAATGACCAACTTGAATATGTGTGTCTGAATCTCTGGCAATACCAGAAAAATTTTCCTTAATAATTCCTTCAAATAGATTTTGCATGCTTTTAGCTATGTCTTCTTCTCCCTCAGGGATATCTATAATTCAAATGTTAGTTTGCTTCACATAGTTCCCTATCTCTCTCAGTGATTGCTCCAACATTTCCTCTTCTCTGCCTCTTTGAATGACTGAGTTATCTTGAAAGCCTTGTCTTCAAGTTCTGAGATTCTTTCTTTTCCTTGGTTTAGTCGGCTGTTGAAGCTTTCTGCTGTGTCTTGAAATCCCCTTAATGATTCTTTCATTTCTTTAAGTTCCATTATATCCTTTCTTATATTGTCTAGCTCTTTAGCAACATTTTCATTGATGTTCTGAAATATTGTTTTTTTGGTTTTATTTTGCTGATTTTCAACTTTCTCTTCAATTCCATTCATCTTATTTGCCATCCATATTTTGAATTCTAATTCTGTCATTTTGGCAATTTCCTTGGAGGTAAAGTCCAGTACTAAGGCTTCATTGTGATTCCTTGGGGTGCTGAACTTTTTTTTTTTCATGTTGCCAGTGTTTTTGTGCTGGTTTCTTCTCATCTGGCTCATCTCATTGGCTCCAAGTTAATAGGATGGCAGGGCACCTTTTCTCCTTTGGTGGAAACTCTCTTGTTTAGTTAGGGGACCTTAGATGGACCTTAGTAGGACCTTAGATGGAGCTTTTGTGTCCTAGTCTGGAATGTTGTCCTGTCAGGGGAGGGGTGGGCACATTGACAGCTTGTAGAACAGCTGTACTGTTTTGACCTGTTCCCCTGTGATGGCCAGTTTGAGCCAGTGCTAGATGATTTCCATGTGGGGTGGAGGGTTGTTCCCCAGCTTGGAAGTTGTTCCCAGCTGGAAGTTGATTTGGATACAACCCTCTCCATGACAGATATTGCTGTAGGGTATTACTCTGGCTGAGGTCATCCAGTGGAGGCAACAGTGGCAGCTGGATGAGTCTATTTAGGTAGCGGTTGTGGAAGACCAAGCTGTGAGCATTTGTACAAGCCAGGTCTAGGAGTAATGGCTACTCAGGGCTCAGTGAGGGGAGGGGTGCCCAGTAAAGTGTTAGACGTTTTGTGTGTCGGGGGGTTGGCTGGCTCAGCAGCAGTGAGGGAGACCCAGTGGTGGGGTCTTGGGGCTCAGGCACAACTCTGGAATCTCAGGGGTGGTGTTGTCATCCTGGAAGGGGCCCTGGAGTCATGGGGCAGAGCCTCAGACTCAGGTGCAGTGAGAGCTTCAGAGCTGGCTCTGGGGATTATAGGCCATTCCACCAGGGTGGAAACTGCTGATACCCAGTTGTGCAGGCAGGGGTTTGTGTCAGTGGCCAAGGGACTATGTAAGTGGGCTATAGCTGCTGGTTGGCCAAGGTTCTCCCCTGACACCTAGGATCCACTCAGTCAGTTGCTCAAGGCTTCCCAGGTGGTGCCTGTGGCATATGAAGCTTCTCCTCTGCTCAGATGCCATGCAGGGCTGAAGGCATGCTCAGCCCACAGTCACAGGGACAGGGCACAACACATGGGAGCATCTGTTCCATCTGCTCTCTCCCCTGCCTGGTGGGGGTGATGCAAAGGCTACTGCTGGAAGGCTGGGTCCTGAGAGGACTTGGCACCATGCACCAGAGTGATGAGGATGGCATCAGTTGCAGAAACCCAGGATTCGCAGCCACCAGATCTCTGCTGTACTTGCTCTTTGCACACTCTGAGTAGCTTACTCTGAGTAGCACCTGCTCTCTGCACACTCTGAGTAGCTCTCTGATCAGCCCAGGGGTCTGCAGTCAAGGAGAGAGCCCTCACAGCTCAAGCTGTCTGCAACTTTTATTCCTCTCCTAAAAAGTGGTGCCCCCTCAGGTTGCTTGTATTTTTCTGTCTTCTCCTTTTTCCAGCAGTGTGAACTGTATTGGGACATCCAGCTTAATCTCTGAGATTGTGGGTGGGACTTCTGAATAAGAATTGGCCACTCCTTGTTTGATTGAGTCAGTAGATGCTGTAATGGGCTGTACAGTTGTTCTCCCTGTCAGTGGTTGGTGCTTGCAGGAAAGACTCAACTGCAGTACTATTCTTTTGTGCCTGTAATAGGCTCAGGAAAAAGCACCT